TGATTATATATTGTGTTTAAATGCCATTGTACATCTAAGGTCTATTTTTGCAAACCATGGTATTTTGGAAGATAATGGCCCTCAGTTTTCATGACATCTCTTTGGCATTTTTGCAGTTACATATGGGTCATGGATCATATAGATTGAAGCATCTCACCAGCAGTCCAAGGTTTCCAAAGAGTATTGGTACTGGCTGTTCAAACTGTTAAAAAAGCCAGGGATTCCTATCTGGCTCTTCTTGACTATAGATCTATCCCCCTTCAGAGTGGTTACAGAACAGCTCAGCTCAGCTTTGCACCACAGTGCTAATACTTCCTTCTCTTCTGGATCCTACCTGGCCCGACATCATTATGTTCACTAAGGTAGAAAAGTTGAAGAGGATGTTAGATGCTAAGGAGTACAACAGGCATCACACTGGCATAGATGGTCTTCCTGTCGAATTTTACAGATCTTTTTGGTCGGTGATGGATGAGGATTTGCTGGAGGTTATCACGAATAGTCTGCATAGAGGCTTTCTGCCTCTGAGCTGTAGAAGAGTGGTCATTACTCTGCTACCAAAGAAGGGAGCTCTATGCAATTTGAAAAACTGGCAACCAGTCTCTTTTCTGTGTTCAGACTGTGAGATTCTTTCCAAAGCCTTGGGGACTAAACTTTGGGATATGATGGCTTCTGTCATTCATGGAGACCAAACAAGCAGACTAATAAGTGATAATATCACTTTAATTCAAGATATTTTGAAAATCTCTAGCTCTTTGGACATAGATATTGGTCTCATTTTTATAGACCAACAAAAAACTTTTGACCGGGTTAAACACCAATATTTGTGGTAAACTTTGAGTGCTTTTTGCTTTCAGCCCAGGTTTTAAAGCAATGATTCAGGTTCTGTACCATGACATTATGAGTGTACTGAAAATTAATGGAGTCTGTTAAGGGTTCAATATTGAGGAGGAGAGTAAAAACGACCAAGCTCTTCTGGACCATGGTTGTTTTTACTCTCCTCCTCAATATTCTTAAGTGGTCCATTCAATTTTCTAATGGGGATGAGGCATGGATATTCTTTGTCAGTGTGATGGCTGCAGTTTCAGCCACACAGTGGCAATATCAGTGTAGAGGCTTATACATAACACTGGATTCACATTTGTCTGTCTTTAAATATAGGAATGAATTTAAAGGACAGTGAATAACTGGTTTTGGTTTAGAATTAGTTTGTTATGTTAGTTTCAGTTAGGCTTTGTGTGTTTTTACCCCTTTTTGTGTTTTTGTGGGCTAATCAGCCACTATTTAAGTTTCCCCTTCATCTTGTTTAGTTAGGTCAGTGTCAGAGTTTTACCCCTGATACTGCTGGATAAAACAGAAACTCACTCAGGAACAAGGTCACACAGAGCTCAAGTTTTCACTCGCGAGGGGGAAGCAGCTGTCTCCAACCCACTTCAACTTGCTTTCCCCCTGCAGGTTGTTTTTATTGGTTATACACATGAATATTCATAAAGCTTGTTGCTGTATTACCTATGAGAAATTACTATAACTAGATACAAAGTGTGATTGTGCTGTGCAAGCGTGATTATACATTGTGTGTGGTTATATGATGGGAGTGCAGCTCTCCCAGATTGTTGTTGGTAGAATCTGTTCTTCTCAAGGCTGCTTGTTCCCCTTATCAAAGTCATGTACGTAGTCATATGCTTAGGTTACCGAGATAGCAAACAGAAGCATTCTAGCTTTCTAAATGGCAACCTACAATACATACATTAAACCTAACAGTCAGCTTGTTTGAGTTATCAGTATTGTTTTTTTGTCAACCTTGAGTAGAGTTCTGTTACTTTGACCTCTTTTATGGGCTCAAGATTTAGATTTTTTTGGTCTTTGGTCAGTGGGTTTTGGTCAGTGGTTGTTGATCAGTGGTCATGAGAATTTGCATAATTATGATGAAGGAACTGACCTCCCAGCCCATTGTCCCTTCAGTGGGCTGGTTTCAGTCATTATGCAAATGTACTCTTAATAATATTGGGGAAACCTGCAGTCAGCTGAAGAAGTCACTTGGGTGAGTGACGAAACGTTTCTCTCACAAAACGCTACGTCCAGATGAACAGAATCAACTTTTGGAGATTTACTTTTCTGGATGATTGAGAATGCATCAAGACTTTATTCAAGTAATTAAATTGAATGTTTTCTTCTTGTTTATGGAATAATAAATCACCTCACACAGGAAAAGAATTTATGGAAAGACCAACACATAGGTGGGCTTTCACTGCCAAACTTGCACACGTATTATTGGGCGGCAAATCTTAATGCCATCCCTTTATGGCTAAAGGACTGGAATGATAAACTATCAAAACTTGGTACGACAGGGGCATTCACAGCATTGAAGATTTGTATATTATTGATACTGTCACAGCCTGGGGGATCAGCAGGGCGCTCATCAGCTGTTTCTCTCTCTCTCTCTCTCTCTCTCTCTCGCCTCCTCTCTTTCTCTCTCTTCCTGTATCTCGCCGGGGTTCACGCCCTCGGCCCACGCCCCTTGGAGGAGGAAGCACCTGAGGCTTATTAACGCAACCAGCATTTAAGCCAGACGATGACTGCTGTTCTTCACTTGATCATTGTGTTTGACTCGCGTTAGTGTCATCAAGTTGCCAGCTAAGTTTTCCCTTCGTGTTTCTGAGCATTGAACTACCGAACATTTCCCTGTGTACAGACTCCCAGGACTGTTTTCCCGTTTCCCGTGTGGTGAGTGTCGGAGAAAGAGAGCCTGATCATGTGTGTGGATTGTTGCAAGAAGAGCGAAAGTCTGTTTCCCTGGATTTCCCTGGAGCCCCATCACCCCACTTTTGTACATAGCACTATTTCTGCAGATTTGTGTATACGCTCGGTGAACTGTGTAAATAAATTGCTTGTGAAGCTTCCTAATTCAGAGTCCTGCATGTGAGTCCTCATGGCCTTCTCCACCTTCTCACCAAGCTCTTTCAGTTTTCAAGATGAGGAGCCTCCTCTTTCTCTCAACCAAACCTGTTAACGCAACACAACTTTTTTTTATACTCACTGTCTCACACACAATTGGTAAATAGTTTTGTCATTAACCTGGTATTAATATTGCTCATTATAGTTAGATTATTGTCTTGTTATGGTGACCTCAATTAACATCAGGTTTCATCCACACTCTGCAATGAGCAAACAACTTTAACAAGCTGTTTCCCCCACAGTTTGCAGAGGTTCAATTCTTCGTAAGAGGACACAGACATGCCCATCGCACAAATTGTTGATTCCAGTGGCTTGTAGTGAAGTTAGCTTCCAGACATGACAGCCAACTGTGGCCACAGATGGCAGCAGTCTACAGGATGGAGGCAACTGTAGGACATCCTTTGTGTGGCAGAACACTGTTTGAACAGGAACTGTAAACAAAAACAGCGGATCATACTGGAAACCACTACTAAGGTCTTACTGAAACTTAGCATGTTATTCATTTATAATTCCTAATTTTATATCTCTTGGAGATATATCCTTTATATATTTATAAATGCACCATGCGGCTTAGAGTGAAACAGCATTTTGGTACACTGTATACTGCAGGGGTCTCAAACTCGCGGCCCGCTGGCCATTTGCAGACCACGTCACCTCTGCTTGCGGCCCACATATTGATGTGAAGAAATAGTTGTAAAAAAATATTATATGAAAAATTATTTAATATGAAGGCAGAGTGTTACAAGCACAGCCCTTTAAGACTGTAGCCTTTTTAAATGCACATAGACACTAAGGGTTTTCGGGAGGAGCCGGGCTGCTCTCTGAGAGGAAGCAGGAACCATCCTCTCCTGTGTTTTAAATGCACTTTAGAACAGCACACAGCAACACTACATATGAGCGGGCGTAGGGAGGTTCGGGGTCTTCACTCACCCCGGTTCTGTTAGCCGTCAGATTGGGGTCTGGGATGCGGGGCCTCCCTGCTACTGCAGATAAGGAGGTGGTCCGCTTGCCTCCACCCCAGAGAGAAGGGTTACATCTCCTGGGTCTAGCTGCGGCTTGCCCCTCTGGGGGCGAGGGTACCTGGACCCGGGATATAGAGTATGATTGGGGAGTGCGACTGTCTGTGCAGTGTCTATTTGTGTCTGTCTACACGTTGGGTGAGTGCCGAGTATTTGGTTGTGTATATGGGGGTGGGAACGCACGTTTGTGTCCGCGTGCGCCTGTTTGTCTGTGTCTATATGTCAGGTTGGGTCTTAGACTCAACCTCTCTGGGTACATCGCAGGCCCTCCAAAGTACGGAAGCCTATCTCCCCTCACCACACTCCCTGCGGTTCCCCCCCCTTTGGTGGTCCTCCTCGGGTCCTTGTACTCTGGGGCCTCTGGATATCTGGGGCCTGGATCTCCTCCATACCTGCTTATGGGACGGGGCTATGGCTCCCCACACTCCCTAGCAGATCGCTACATAGAGAAACCTTTGGAATACAAGCATGCTGATCCACGCAGGTGTACACACAGGTGTACACACGGGTGTTCACAGACGCGACTACACCTTTCTTGGCTGCTGCCTCAAAGCACATTGTGCACTGTCGATCTTGCGTGCTGCACAATATCGTTTATTTTCAGTATCTACTGTTATCTACTGCTAGCTAGTTTATTGTGATGGTGCTGTGTTTATTATGCTGCTCTTTTTTTGTTTGCTTTCTCTTCTGTTTTTTTTTCTCCATACAGGTGATCCAGGTGTTTTGTTTGTTTTTCTTTCTTTCTTCCCCCCTTTCTCACCGTCTCTTCTCCCCTCTGTCATGGTGCTGGGTCGTTGGCCCAGCGTTTTGTGTTTTATGATTATGTCCTTCTGTTCTAGTTATTCTGTGTCCTCCCCCCTTGTGTCCGGTTTAGGTTCTAGATTTCCTGTTTTGTTCTGAAAGTCTGTGTCTGTTGTCATTGTGTTCAGATTGTCTCCTCCGGACCTCATGTGTATTGGGTTCAGCTGTTCTTCCCTCCTGTGTGTGATTACCCGATTACCTTGTGTGTGTATATGTAGCCAAGTGAACTAATACTACGCATGGAAAGGGTTTAAAAAGAGGGAATTGTGTTTTTGACTGGTTGCCTGTCTACCGGAGGTCTGTTGTAGGGTTGTCATGGTGATGACTAGACCTCGCGTTTTGGGGGTATACTGTCCCTTTAAGAGCCGCCGTAAGCCAGAGCACGCATGCACTCAAGTTTGTGTCACACTGAGCGCTGTGAGCGGGAGCACTGGAGAGTTAGAGACTGCAAAAGATTCTGTGGCTAGCTACACACGAGGTAAATGTGCTAAAAAGTGTAGCATACTGCAAAATATTGTCACCAGTGTTGTAGTAGACTGTAATTAGCTAAGTTTCTTTAGCAATGACTCCATGTTTGTGACCATTTCTGTACAGTTCTTAACGCGCGACGGGTGCATGTTTAATGGTCACGTGCTGTGAAAGGGACTGAAGAGCGGGTTGGCGTGAGTAGTTACAGTGTCCTAACAGATTTCAAAGTTGTTAAGTTTATACTTTTACTCACTTTGCATAACTCTGTATGTTTCTGTTTGATTCAGAGGGGAGATCACTTGCTGTGTGATTCCTGCGTGTGTACTTGTCCTAGCACAGTAGCTGTGTGGAGAAACCGAAGTGAGTTCATGATGTTCTCCCATAGAAATGTATGTTTAAAAGAGAGTTTACAGTGCACTTTATTGCCAGTTGACCTGCGAAGTTGTGGGATGTAAACAATGTGTTTATTTGTTTTGTTTTCTCTTTTTTTGTTGTATTTGTTTCTTGACAGGTCACTACTGTTGTCTATACTGTTTGGATTTAACATGTACATATGATAGTTACTGTTGTCTCAGACCCTGAAAGGCAGTTTAGGCTGAGCCAGTGGAATAGTTAAATTTTGCCGTTTCACTCAAAACTACAGAATTAAAACTGTGCTCCTCCGAGTACAGTCGGAGAATAAAAAAGCCCACAAAAGAGTATTTCCTGTGTCCTGTCTCATTCCCCATGACCGGGCCACATAGTTTGGTGTCAGAAGTGGGATTCTCAGGTTAGTTTTGAGTTTCAGTATAGAGAGACACAGTGAGTGGGGCTTTATAGACAACAGTAGTGGCTTAGAAGATCCCAGTCCTTCCCAGAGGGCGGCAATCGCAGTGTGGACGTCCTGAGGTGGTTCGGTGCAGTGGCAGTTGGTACAACAGGAGCCTGCTTCAGCCATTGGACGAGGAGGGCGCCTGACACAGATTTTGGACTGTTGAATCTCATCTACAAGTGACTGTGGGAATCTGCTGCAGTAAAGACTCAAAGACATTGCAGTATGTCGCAAGAGGACGAAGGGGAAGGTCCTTCAGGGGCCGGAGCTATCCCCACTGAAGACAGTCAAGCTGCCTCGTTGTTTGACAGTGCAGGTAACCCGTTGGTGGAGCTACAAACAAAGATTAACGAACTGAGTAGGAAACATGATGCTGTTATGTCTAGTATTGCTAACATGGGTAATGTTCCAACCAGATCTGTCGTGTACATTCCAAGAGAAAAGGTGATTGTACCTTTTAGTGGGGAACCAGCTAAAGATGCTTACACTGTTGATGAATTCATAGAAGAGGTGGAAAGAGCAATAAGAACTAGGGGTCTGCGTGGAGAGGATCAAACCGACTTTATCCTCTCACAGCTGAAAGGGTCTGCCCTAGAGGAAGTTAAGTTACGTATGGCAGGCCAGGTGAAGCAACCGAGTGATCTCTTTTCATATTTGAGGGAGGCATTTAGAGAGAAGCGCACCACACCACAGCTCTTGCATGCTTTCTATGCACGCCGCCAACTAGATGGGGAAGACCTGCGAGATTATTCACATGCACTCTCTCAGTTGCTCAATGCTGCAATACAGCAGTCCCCTAATGTAGTACCCAACACACAGCTGGCACTTCGGGATCAATTCATTGAAGGTGTGCATGCCCCAAATCTTCGGCGTGAACTACGTAGGCTCACTAGGGACAAGCCTGAGTGTAGTCTCTTTGATGTTAGAGAGGAGGCAATCATGTGGACTATGGAAGATCGTCCACGCAGCACTAATGTGGCCAGACATAGAAATATAGTGAGTGACAGGCCAGATGAAAGATGTGAAAAGACAACCTCCACCAGTGATGTACAGACAGACTTTACCATGGCTCTGCAAGAGATGGTTAAAATAATCACACAACAGGGTAAAGCCATAGGGGAGTTAACTAATGCAGTGAGGGAGCTCACAACACAGACTGCCAGTTCTGAAGACAGTAGAGGTGTTAAAGCTAAGCCCAAGCCTAAGTACACTAGAGAGGGCCAGCCTATTTGTCTCCGATGTGAAGGGGTGGACATATGGCCAGACACTGTAATGCACCCCAACAACCTACGAGCCAGTCTGCAACCATGTCCAGTTCCTCGCTAACGGGAAACGGGAACCCTCCATTGCTATGAGCCGGGCAATGCGAGGCAAGTCAGAAGGCTCAAAGGAAGCTCTAACCAAGGAACATTTTCTAGAACATGCTGTTGGTCAGTGCCCTGAAGTAGATATCCAGATAGGTGGTGTATCCCTTAGATGTCTGCTTGACACAGGAAGTAATGTAAGCACTTTGACAGAAAGCTTTTTCAGAAATCATCTCCAGGGAGAGGATGAAGATATGCACTGTACTGCCAAGTGGCTTAAAATCACAGCAGCCAACCAGTTGCCGCTGCCCTATTTAGGCTATGTAGAGTTAGATGTACAGGTCATGGGGCTCACTATACCTGAATGTGGTTTTCTTATAATCAAAGATGATAAAACAGAAAGAGACAATCCCAAATGGTTGGATTTGTCACCCCATGGCATTATAGGGATGAACATTGCAAAACGATGTAGACAGTTAGTACTCTCAGAGTTTGACACCACTCTAGGGGGAGAGCTGGAGTCCAGCTGGAGGAAGGCCTGCCACTGCGTACAAGCTGCTGAGCTTGTGGAAAAGGTGTCTACTGCCCGTGTTGCAAGCAAACACAAAGTGCGGGTGCCTGCCTCATCCCTGACCACTGTCTATGCAAGGGGCCATGGCAAGCAGTTTGGTAGCGCATTGGTTGAACCAGGGAATGTTCAGCTCCCAGGTGGCTTATTGGTGATCCCAACTCTAGTGTCAACTAACAGCCTGGTATTCCCAGTACAGGTGATGAACATCTCACAAGAGGATGTCTGGCTTCCACCTAAGGCTAGACTAGGCATTATTAGTCCTGGCCGCTGCATTGAGGGTGACCCATGCGAGGTGAAATTTGAGCGCATATCTGCCAACCACGAGGAGGTGACTCTTAACCAAAAGGACTGTCAGGGGGCCAACAGCTGCGTACAGGACTTATTGGGAAGATTACACATAGGTGGCACACCAGGACAACAGGCCGAGGTCAGAACTCTTTTGAAAAGGTATGCGGATGTTTTTGCACTTCATGATGAGGATTTGGGGTACACTGATCGTGTGAAGCATGAAATTCCTGTTGTAGATGAAGCCCCTGTTTCTCAGCCATACAGGCGCATTCCACCAAATCAGTACAAAGAGGTCAGGGAGCACATTTCTGAACTGTTGAGAAAGGGGGTGATTCAGGAGAGTTCGAGTTCCTATGCTTCACCAGTTGTTCTGGTACGCAAGTCAGATGGGAGTCTTAGACTGTGTGTAGACTACCGCAGACTAAACGCGAAGACCAGGCGTGATGCGTTTCCACTCCCTCGCATTGAGGAGAGCCTGGATGCCTTGAGTGGTGCAGAGTTCTTCTCAACCATAGATCTTGCCAGTGGCTACCATCAGGTAGCGGTACATGAGAAAGACAGAGACAAAACAGCCTTTACCACACCATTTGGCCTGTATGAATACTTAAGGATGCCTTTTGGGTTATGTAATGCCCCCGCGACGTTTCAACGTCTTATGCAGGCCACAATGAGTGATTTGGTCTTTCAGATTGTATTGATCTACTTGGATGATCTGCTTGTGTTTTCATCAACATTCCAGGATCACATTGTGAGACTGGAGACTGTTTTGAAAAGGCTGAGGGATACGGGGCTGAAGGTTAAGGTTGAGAAGTGCCATTTCCTCCAGCCCAAGGTCAAGTTTCTCGGTCATGAAGTGTCGGCTCAGGGAATAAACACAGATCCTGACAAGATAAGCGCTGTGGCAAAATGGCCCATCCCTAGTACTGTGAAAGAGCTAAGGTCCTTTTTAGGATTTTGCAGCTACTATAGGAGATTCATTGAGGGCTTTTCCCAAACTGCGGGGCCACTCCATGATGTGGTGAATGTCTGTGTTAAGGAGATAAGTCCTGTCAGGGCTAAACAGCTTTTTGCTTCAGCCTGGACACCGCAATGCTTACAAGCTTTTGAGTTGCTTAAGGGAAAGTTGACTAGTGCCCCTGTTCTAGGCTATGCTGACTTCAGTCTCCCTTTCACGCTGAAAACGGATGCTAGCAGTCTTGGATTAGGCGCTGTCCTGTCTCAGAAGCAGGGGGGAAGGAATAAAGTCATAGCTTATGCTAGTAGGAGGCTCAGAGGGGCTGAGAAGAATGATCAAAACTTTAGCAGCATGAAGCTCGAACTCCTAGCGTTAAAGTGGGCAGTCACCGAAAAATTTAGGAGTTATCTGCTGGGGTCCAAGTTCACAATCATAACGGATAACAATCCCTTGTGCCACCTGCCCACTGCTAATTTAGGAGCCATTCAACAGAGGTGGGTAGCTCAGCTGTCTGTGTTTGACTTCGATGTTAAGTATCGCCCTGGCCGCTGCAACACTGCCGCTGATGCCCTCTCTCGGCAACCAACAGTTGACACGGCAGAACCTGACAGTGAGGATGCAGAATATGATGGCTCTATAGCCATATGTAATGTGCTAAGGGCAGGTACAAGTCTAGGCTCAGATCTTGTCATGGCTGGAGTTGAGGCTTGTAGGATCAGACTGCTGCAGGCCTCCGAACCAGATGGGGAAGCAGTCAGTGAGGCTGTGCTGGGCAACACCCCAACGATGCCTGGTTATTCCAATGCAGAACTCTATCGCTTCCAAGTGTCAGACCCAACAATTGGTGTCTTGAGAGAGTTTTGGAGCAGACAGAAGAGACCCACCTACAGAGAGAGAGGGGGTCTGTCTAAACCGGTACGTTCTCTACTGAAGCAGTGGCCTCGGATCAGAGAAAAGGATGGACTGCTATACCATGTAATTGAAGATGCTCACCTTGGACAGTGCCATCAGCTGCTACTACCTGCCTGTCTTAAAGAAAAAGTGCTCAGGAGTGTGCATGATCACATGGGACACCAGGGAATCGAACGCACACTGGGATTGTTGAAACAAAGATGTTTCTGGGGAGGCATGTTTGAAGATGTTGAGCACTGGGTGAAGAAATGTCAGAGGTGTGTGTTAACAAAGATGCCTCAACCCAAAGTTCAGGCACCCCATGCTCCATTTTTGGCTACCCGCCCACTTGAAGTTGTTGCTGTTGATTATACCACCCTTGAGCGGGCTACAGATGGTCGTGAAAACGTTCTTGTAATGACTGACGTGTTCACCAAGTTCAGTCAGGCATTTGCCACACGAGATCAAAAAGCAGATACCACAGCTAAGGTTATCCTGAAAGAGTGGTTCCTGAAGTATGGGGTACCAGAGCGCCTGCACTCAGACCAGGGCAGGAATTTTGAAAGCGCAGTGATTGCTGAGCTATGCAAACTGTATGGAGTGAAGAAAACGCGTACAACACCCCACCACCCTCAGGGTAACCCACATTGTGAGAGGTTCAACAGGACTTTACACAACCTCTTGCGTACGCTTCCCCCTGAGAAGAAGCAGCGCTGGCCCGAGCATCTGTCAGAGCTGGTGTATGCTTACAATGTCACGCCGCACTCAACGACAGGGTATTCTCCCCATTACCTGCTGTTTGGGGTCCACCCACATCTACCCGTTGATGCATTGTTGGGCCGGGAGGAAGTGAAGGATGACAAACTGGACTGGTTAGCAGT